TGATATTAATAAAATCTTATCTGTCTTTAAAAAAGCCCAATAGTTTACTAGCTTAGATCTGATTAGTGGATATTGGCAAGTAGCTGTAAATAAAGTTGACAAAAAGAAAACTGTCTTTATTACTAAACAAGGCACCTATAAATTTAATGTAATACCTTTTGGACTATGCAATGCACTTGCTACTTTCCAAAAATTAATGAACAAGATTCTATGACTATTTATCAACAAGTTTGTTATAGTATATTTTGATAATATTACCATATACTCAAAAATATTTAAAAAACATTGTCAACATTTGCAACTGTATTTAAAGCTTTAAAAGAAGCTAACCTGAAACTAAATACAGAAAAATGTTTCTTTTTCTTAAATAAATTAAAATTTTTAGATCATATTGTCAGAAAAGATAGAATAAAACCTAATAAAAAAAAAGATTGCTAAAGTGAAAAACTTTCTAACACCTACTAATATGCAACAAATTAGAGAATTCTTAGAACTTGCTTCTTATTACAGAAAGTTTATAAAAGAATTTTTGAAAATCACCAAACCTTTAAATCTTTTATTACAAAAAGACCAACTCTATTAATAGGATAATAAACAACAAAAAGCTTTCCAGATCCTTAAAGATCATCTTATCTCTGCACTAATTTTATAGTATTTTGACTTCCATCAGCTTTTCTATATTTATACTAATGCTTCACAATCAGGCTTAGGAGCTGTATTAGCTCAAATAGACAAAGATAAAAGAGAACATATCATAGTATATGCTAGCAGAAGCCTCTCAAAAGCAGAACAAAACTACTCTGCTACAGAATTAAAATGTTTAGCTATAGTATGAGCAGTTGAGCATTTTTATCAATACTTAGAAGAAACCACTTCTATGTAATTACTGATTATGTAGCTTTAAAATGGCTTAGAACTACAAAATTAACTGAAAAAAGAGCCAGATAGATTATGTGTCTAGAATTTTATAATTTTACTATAATCCATAGAGCTGGAAGAAAACACAATAATGCTGACTCATTATCAAGAATATATAAGTTAAATGAATCATCAGAAAAAGAATATGAAGTAAACTTGTTTGATTTACTTACTGAAGAAGAAGCTCTTGAAGCTGCTCTTCAAGAAAACCCTATTACTATTCCAGTAGATTGAAATGAAAAAAAAATTTTTTACCTTACTGAAAAACCTAAAGAAATTAAAAATTACCAGACTACTAAAGATTTTTATTTTATAAACAACCCTTAGAGTAATGTTGAATCTCTAAATAGAACAAAAATGCCTCCAACAACTAATCTAGATATAGAAAAAGAACCTAAAATACATAAAGGTATCCAAACAGTACAAGATCTAGAAATAGTTAAACAAACATTATATAACAAACTATCTCCTACCCTTCTTGATAGTATAAGACCATATAAATGAATGACTTTCTTACCTAATGGAATAGAATATAATAACCAGTTCTGTATATAATATTATATTGAACTTATTAGCAAACAATTTGGTATTAAAGATAAAAACAAAGAACTTGCCCGAGACTGGAAAGGTCTCTGTGCACAATGTTGATGTAAAAATAAACTACATAGCCCTTGTGATGAATGTCCAACCTAATGATGCTGTCTGAAACTTAATAGTTTCAAATTAACTGAAACCGAAACTAGTTTTATCAGTTTCAGACATAATTTATTTTTTTAAAACTAGTCTAAAATTCGAAACTATACTGAAAGTCTAAAACTATCTAAAAGCTTAAAACTATATTAGAAGTTTAAAACTATATTATATATTCAAAACTATATTAAAATCATAAAACTATACCAAAAGCCCGAAACTATTATAATTCAGATCCAGATATCTGATAATTATCCAGATAAATGCTTAACAAATTGAAAGTTAAAGATAAGAAAGTTTGTATTATAAAATATTTTAATAGCTCTTTATGATTAGTGTTAGGATAAGAAAATTTAGATTATAAAATCATTCTAACAGCTCTTTAAAGTTAGAATTTAGTATTTTGATTATAGATATTTGTATTATATTAAAACTTCATAGAGAGTTTTTTTTTGACATATATTAGTCTTTTTAATAATATGGTATATCTAATTCACATAATTTACATATGCAATACATATTAATTATTCAATATGGTACTTAAATAATCTTTATTAATTAACTAATTTTTTACTATTTTATTAGTTTTTCTTTTAGTGATAGACTTCAGTGTGAGAACTAAACAAATCTATAATCATTATATTGAAATAGTGTATGTTATTGTAAAGAATACAAACAATATATAGTAATGATCTATTATATTTTTGTTTGTGTATATGTAACATATATACAGTATGTACATAGTACATAGCTCTAGCTTACTAGAGTTATATAAATTAAATAGTAGCCTTGTGCATATATGCTACAATCATGATACATATACTAATTTAGTTAGACACTCATTTATACCAAAAAGAGAAAAGGCATAATTCATTTCATCAATTACCAAAAACTTACTACTTTGGATAGTGATCAGTAGATTTGTCTAACAACTTATTATTAGAAGTCAATTGCTTCTAGCTAAGTATTGCATAATTAAAGAACAAATTCTTTAAAGTTTATAAAACATACAAGTTTATATTTGCTTTTGGTTGCATATTATATTATTTATATATTTTTTATTTTAGTTTTATATGAAAAAAATAAGAATATTATTATAACTGTTTATCGCTATTAATATCTTAAATTAGTATTAGCAATATAAATTAGAACTAACTTATAAAATACTAATAGCTTAGATATATTCAATAGTGTATATCTACAACTTCTCATATTCGAATAACTTAGATTTATTTTTAAGAATTTTTCATTATGCATTTATCAAGAGTTTCCATATTGATATTAAAATACATATATAATTAATGTGTACGTACATGTATTGCCAGTATATAATGTATTTAGTGCAGGTATTAAATAGGATACTAAAAATAATAAAGAAAAGAACATGTTAATATATACCGTTGGCTTGAATAGTTTTGAAGTGACCAAATTATCATGTGTAACATGTGATTAATTTGAAAATAGATTGAAGTCAGATTTTGGATCAGACTATATTTATTTTATGATGTAAATTATTAGTATAATATTCATTAATTTAAAAGCTAAAGTGGTAATCAATAAATGATGTAATAAGATTGAGTCAATTTTGTATTTATAAGCAAGAGAAAAAATTAAGAACTAATAAATGCTTTTTTTTGTCAAAACTAATACTTACCTGATTATTTTGCAAAGACTAAATAGATAGCCAAATCCCTAATTAAGTATGTATATAATGATAAGCTAATATAAAACAGTAGAGAAAAGAACATGTTAATAAAAAAAATTATTTAATATATATTATTGGCTAATATTTTCGAAGTGACCAAATAATCATATGTAATATGTGATCAATTTGAAAATAGATTGAAGCTATATTTTGGATCAGACTATATTTATTTTATGCTGTGAATTATTAGTATAACATTCATTAATTTAAAAGCTAAAGTGGTGATCAATAAATGATATAATAAAGTTGAGTCAATTTTGTATTTGTAAGCAAAAAAAAAATTAAAAACTAATAAATACCTTTTTTTCAAAACTAATACTTACCTGGTTACATTGCAAAGACCAAATAGATGGCCAAATCTCTAATTAAGTATGTATATAATGATAAGCTAATATAAAACAATAAAGAAAAGAATATATTAATGAGAAAAAATTATTTAATACATATTGTTGGCTTGAATAGTTTCGAAGTGACCAAATAATTATGTGTAACCTGTAATCAATTTGAAAATAGATCGAAGCCATATTTTGGATCAGACTATATTTATTTTATGATATAAATTATTAGTATAATATTCATTAATTTAAAAGCTAAAGTGGTAATTAATAAAATGATGTAATAAGGTTGAGTTAATTTTGTATTTGTAAGCAAGAGAAAAAATTAAGAACAAATAAATGCTTTTTTATTCAAAACTAATACTTACCTAGTTATTTTGCGAAGACTAAATGGATGACCAAATCCCTAATTAAGTATGTAGATAATAATAAGTTAATATTGATACTGTGCGAATAACACATGAATTTAAATATGCATATATAAGTATCTGATAATAATAGTTTGATTTTTACAATTTTTTTTATTTAAAGTTGTTTATTTCACATAAGCTACCTTTAACAACTTCTCAAAATTTATCTTCTGTAATTTTAATGACTTCATATGATTCATCTTCAATGGCTTCACATTATTCATCTGAAGCTGAAAGAGAAACTGAAAATGAAATATGTTCAAAACATCCTGAAGGAAGATCACTGGATCCTGTTTGGGAGCATTTTGCTGCAACTCTATTAAAATCACCTGGCCATTTTTCTGCAGTATGTAAATATTACAATACTCAATTTAGCTATAGGTGTTCAAATGAACTTGAGGTGCATCTTGCAAAAGAATGTGAAGGTAAAAACCTTGATGATGAAATAAGAAGCAAATATCTTGAAATTGCAGTTCAGAGACAACTATCAAAAGAAAAAACTAGTTCAAAAAATCAATCAAAAAAACAAAAAATAAGTATTAATGATTATTGGAAAAACGAAAATCAATTTTTGGCAAGTTCTAAGAAGGAAGCAATTGATCGTACAATTATTAAAGCCTTTGCTATGCATGGACTTCTGTTTTCCATAATTGAGAATCCATAGTTTATCAACATACTTAAATCTTTATAATCTTTGTATATACCACCTACTCATGAATATCTTTCTAATACATTATTAAATGAAGAAGTGATTAAAATTAATTGGAAGACTAAGAAATACTTAAAAACTGCAGATAACTTGATACTTGGTAATTAGCTTTAATATACTTATACAATACTTTAACTTATATAATTATATAATTGTATTAAATTTATATTATTTTATTTAGGATTAGATAGTTAGACGAATCCTCAGGATGCTTCAATTATAATTTTTTAATAATGACCCCTGATTATAAGGAATTTTTATATGCCCTTTGTGATTTGTCTCATGTTAGTCATACGGTGGATTTACTCTTTAATGAGATTGAAAAAATTTTAATTAAGATTGGGCCCAAAAAATTTATTAGAGTAATTTCTGATAATGCCTTGGCTATTGCTGCTACATATAGACAGATTAATCAAAAATATCTTTCTATTATTAATCTTTGTTGTATTGTTCATTTTGTTAATCTTATTAGTCATGATATTTTAAAATGTAAATTACCAGCATGTATTTTAAAATATTGCAATAAGATATGCCACTTTTTTAAAACTAGTCATTTAGCTGGAAGTTATCTAAAACGATATATAGATGAATTGAATATTAGCAGAGGTGGATTGAAGCTTTTTATAGAAACTAGATGGACATCTGCATATAAAATGGTTAATTCTGTGTTTAGACTTAAACTTGTATTAGAAAAGGTGATTTTTAATTTATTAATTAGCATAATTGATTTTATAAATGTTGCAAAGTGTAAATTTTTTTTTGTTTTGTAGCACACATTCTTATATAATATACTATAGTGCTAACACTAATATTTTGAATAATTTTAAGGTTTTAAATGATCATCCTGATGCTATTACCAACCAAGATGTACGAATAATTTTAAAGTCTCAAGGATTCTTTCATGATGTGGAACAAATATCCAAAATTTTTGCTCCAATTAGAGCTACAATTTTGCAATTAGAAAGAGTGCATTGTATAATAACAGATTGTTTTATTCAATTAGTTTGTTTAATTGTGACTATTTCTCATATGCCAAAAGAAAGAGATACGATTGCATTTCAAAATCAATGCATAGAAATTGTTAACAATTATTGGAATGAACTTGAAGCAGAACCATATATTTTAGTATATATGCTGCATCCTGAATATCAAGGTATATATATATATTATTCTTTAACATTTTTAGTATATTTATATTTGTATATTTAATAATTGAATTTTTTTTTATAGGCGCTGGTTTAAGAAAGAGAATATACATACAAATTACCCTTTATGCTGCACAATTATAGCAATTGATGGGATACAAAGATAAATTATCTGCACAAACTCTTATTGCTCAAATTATCAAATTTAAGGAAAAAGAATTTCCATACAATGTTGAATATGATAGCCAAGTGATGACACCTTTTATATAGTAGAGCTTTATTGAAGATAAGTTCGAAAATCTTAAAATTTTGGCCAAAAAAATTTTTGCAATAACTCCACATAGTGCATCATGTAAACACATTTTTTCTATTTTGGGTTGATTCTATGATAAAAAAAGACAACAATTGAGGTTAAAAAATTTAGAATCACTTACTAAAATCTGACATTATAATTTACTTAATATGTATAAAGAGCTATTATATAATGTGAAAAACAAAACTAAAGATGAATTAGTAGCATTGATTCAAAGGTCTTATCTGTTTGATGCCGAGGATGAAAATGATATAAGCGAAGACTATGAAGATGAAAATAATAGAGAATCAGATGATGATTTAGAGATTCCTAATCATCAAGTAGTAGTTCTTGTTATTAATAACATTGTAGATTTGCATTATCAAGAATTTAATCAAGTAGGAGATTTGTATGTCTCTAATGAAGACAATGTCAATTCTGATGTTGCTATGAATGAAGATCATAAATTTAATTTAGAAGAATTAGTTCAAGATCTTGAATAATATATATATAAAGTTATGATATATATTATATATATATATATATTAAATACACAATTTAAAAATAAATAAATTATATATTATCCCTTTATAAAATCACAATTAAATAAATAAGATAAAGAATATGTTTACAAACTACTATATAGAAGTATATAAATAATCGCATATATGCACTATATATATTGTATATATATTGACATAAGATTCCTCACTTATTACCAAGATAAACTAACTATTTCTAATGAACTAAGTAACCAGTATGGCCATTGTTAGTATAAAGGACCAAACTATACTAAATTACTAAAGCTAATTGTCGTAGTGCTGCACAATACCATGTAATCAGATCGAAATTTGCATGAATAGCATGATCACGATTTAATTAAAAGTCTAAAAGAGTGATTGCATTAATAATGTAGTAATCATTAGCAATTAGTATTGCATGAACAATGTAGTAATTATTAGCAATAGTAATAATATAAGGCATCCAAATAAGGGAAGTGCCTAACTTTGGTTCCCGATATCTCTAACTTTTATTATTAATAAATAGTATAATAGCCAAACGAGTTAAATACTGATAGTAGAAGTCAACAAATATAGTATTTTGGGTGACTTTGTGACACTAATTCATTTACTTTAATAATTAATAATTCATTATCAACCTGGTTCTTAGCAAATACATATACATACCTTACCATTTTGTTAATTACTTTGCTGACAACTTTCTCTAACTTAGTTAATAATTATTAAGATAAGCTATTTATTCTAATTTATCACTTGAAAACTTAAGTAAGTTATTAATTTCTTTTTATCATATTAATTAGTATTATATTTTAAAGTAATTTAGGAGTATAAACCACTCTATGACAGCATCAAATTATTAGCTTATTTTGCTCATTTCAAAAACAATCTAAAGCTATAATTACTTCATTAGTAAAATAAAATTCTATAAGTTGTTATAATCTATAGACACCTTATTCACAAATAGTTAGATTACAGAAAAGTCTATTTTATAGATAATTAATTCAGATAGGTTTAATTTTATAAAATAAACTTATCTGTGAACTAACTGTCAAAATAAGATACTGTCAGCAGTATCTAAACTAATACATATAATAATTGCTGGCCATTTAAAGTATTATAATAATTTAATTTACTATAATTATATGTAATTAAATGTGAAATAAAATACTGGGCTAATTTTTCCTTATCGACTTTGGCTTTGGTGTAGTCTTCTTGGCTACATCAATAATTAGCTGTAGTTGAATTGGTTTCAGGTAAGGAGTGAATTCATATTTTGCTTGAGTTTTAAAAAGAACATAATAAGTTCCTAAATCGGGATTAATGGCTAAATATTTAATTTCTGGAATTTTAAACAATAAGAATTGATACAATAAATAGCTAGTAAAATAGTAATGTAATTTAAGCTCTATTAGTCAAGAACACAGAAAAATGCAATTTTATTTAAAGTATTTGAAATTCCTATAAATAAAATCACACTTTTTTCATGTTCTTGCTGTTAGTGAATCATATGGATTCATTAAATATTTACTCCTATTTATGCAAATATGTAATATATTTTATAAATGTTTAAGTATATTGTTGCCATCATGCTATTTGTTGTAAACAAAATGGTGATTATAAAAAGAATAATTATATAGTACTTACACTTTATAAGAATTAGTTAAATAACTTTAGTATCCAATAATACGCATATATAGTATATGCACAGCTCTATAAATATAAGCATTTTAGATATCAACACATTCAATTGAACGAATTCAAAAATATATTTAATTTATGACATAGATATTATAAAATATTATAGTAATTTAAATAGCTGTAAGTGAATATGTGTATAGTTTTAGAGTTTTAATATAGTTTCAGGAATTTACTATAAATTTAAGATTTTAAATAGTTTAGGAATTTCAGTATAGGCTTAGATTTCAATATAGTTTCGGAATTTTAACAAGTTTCGGAGTTTTAAAAATTTGTTTCAGATATCTAAAACTAGTTTCAGTTTTAGTTAGTGACCTAATATAGTTTCAAGTAGCATCATTATAATGAATAGTCTTATCTAAACTACCTTATAGACTGGACCTCCTCTTGACTTTATTTTAATCATAACCAAAAACCTACATCTTTTTATATCAGCTTTAAACTTAATCAACTCAAAGCTTTCAAATCTAAATTCTTACTAAATAAGCTACCTACTCAATTCTTTTTTTATAACAGATATCCTCATATCTTTACCAATACTAATTGTTTCAAATGCAATCTTTCTAACTTATCTATACACTGGCACACATGCTCTAACATATATAATATTCTTCTTAATATTATTTATACATCTGTTCACCAAATACTTTTCAAGACTGAACTAAACCTATCACCTTCTCAACTTCACAAACTAGGTTCTAATATATGGCATCATCCATCTTTGATCACATATCATTTTAACACAATCTACAATTTATAGACATTATACTTAAAGAACTTATACCTAAATTACTTATTGAAGTTATTCGCAACTTTAATATACCTTCACA